TAACCATTGGTATGCTCTGAAAGATGGCAGAGTTGAATCATATGATCCTTAAGAAATTATTGTACTTAATTAAGCTTTGTTCTATGGAGTTTCAGATGGATTAATATTTCCCAACAAATTTAAAAAAACATCCACTTCCTCTTCAATTTCATTCCTTTTTTGAAATGTTTAACCATTAAACTATTATTTATGCAAAAAATCTTCAACTTAAACAAGCAAGTTTTACCTTTCCTTCTTTTTAACTTCCGATGACATTTTTATAATAAAATTAATGAAAAAAAAGAAAAATCAGTACCTCAGTATTTATATGAATACATTCAAACACATTCATTTATCATGCTTATATTGGAACACTTTCTCTGTTTAGCTTGATTTTACATTTTTTTGACAAATCCAGAATAAATTGGATCACCACACAAAATACAACGATTAACAATATCGACAACACTGTTGCCATTATTATTCTCTTTGATTAATTATCCTTATTTTGTAGATCTAATTCACTTGCATAAATACCCAAAAAATTATAAAATGATGTTCCTTCTAAGCTAATCTGCTATTTCTAAAAAGTAACACCTAATTTGTTTGAGCCTTCTTTAATTGCTATTCTGACATTGTGTCTTCAGACATTATTTCTAGTGCTTCAATCTAATCATATTCGGTTTTTAAAGGTAGCTTAATGCATCTTACCATTGTTAACAAATATATCAATAAAAACATATTATATATTAATAAACGTTTTTCAAAATATTTAATAACTCTCAGCATTAACCATGTATAAAATATTGTCTTCTTGATTAATCAAACATATCTTTATAATTAAAATAAAGAAAGATATCAATAATTTGATATTTATAACCTACTTTATAAGTTATTCTTAATTTATGTTGAACATATTACTTTCATTTTTTGAAATTATTTTATATAAAATAAAGATTATTTACAAAAATATATCCTGTTTCTTTATTTGATCATAATTGAAGTTTGTATTGAATATACAAATAATAAAATAAAAATATTAAAATTATTTATTAAAATGCAGACATTAAATGATTATGAAATAATAGAAAAATTAGGTTCTGGTTCTTATGGGGATGTAATGTTGGCCAAATAGAAAGAAAGCGGATTATTAGTTGCAATTAAAACCTTAGAGAAAAGATTATTAATAAAGGTTAGCTAATTGATTTATAAAAAGGAAAAAAAATAATATTAGGTTTTTATTGAAAAAGAAGTCTTAACTTAAGTGAAGCATCCTGGGTTGATTAATTTAATTGCTAGTTTTCAGAGTTCATCATAAATATATTTAGTGCTAGAATTTGTAGAGGGGGGGGATTTTGCAAATTTTCTAAAAATTAATAGTAAAAATGCAGTTTATCATACTAGAAAATATTTCATAATAAAATATAGTTTTTTATTCAGCAGAGATTGTAAGCATATTAGAATAGTTACATTCAAATGGAATAGCTCATAGGGATGTAAAAGTAAATATTCTATAATGATAAAAGCCAGAAAACATTATGGTGGCCAATAATCTACATATAAAGATGATTGACTTTGGAACTGCAAATTTTTTTGATGAGAGAGGATTAAATGAGAGTGTAAGAGACAAATTAAATGAATTACGAGAGATTAGTTAACAAGATGAAAGATTCATGGATGAAATTGATTAATATTAATAAAAACACAAGGCTACATTTGTTGGGACAGCTGAATATGTATCACCAGAGTTATTAGAGGATGATATATGTGGTCCTTAATCAGATTTATGGGCATTGGGGTGCATAATTTATAAAATGTTCACAGGAACAACTCCTTTTTGTGATTAGACAGAATATTTAGTATTTTAGAAGGTCAGGGCTTGCTAGTATTAAAACAGCAATAAAATTCCTTAGGATGCAATGGATTTAATAAGCAAACTATTGGTAAGAGATCCATTGAGCAGATTGGGAGGAGGATTACCTAGTATAAATTATTTATATTAAGATTCAAAGAATACCTATAGGGAACTTAAGAGCCATCCTTTCTTTA